ATAGAGCTAGAAAAAACAATAGCAAAATTCATTTGGAAGAATAAAAATTCCAGAATATCAAGGGAACTAATGAAAAGAAATGCAAGAGAAGGTGGCCTAGCTATACCAGATCTTAAATTGTATTATAAAGCAGTAATCATCAAAACTACTTGGTACTGGCTAATAAATAGAGTGGTAGATCAGTGGACTAGATTATGTATGCAAGATGCAATAGTTAATGACTATACTAATCTACTATTTGATAAATCCAAAGACTCTAGCTTCTGGGATGAGAAATCATTATTTAACAAAAACGACTGGGAAAAACGGAAACATGGATGGCAGAAACTGTGCATGGACCAATATCTTACACCCTATACCAAGATAAAGTCAAAATGGGTACAGGATTTAGATATAAAGAGTGATAGTATAAGCAAACTAGAAGAGCAGGAGTAGTTTACCTTTCAGACCTATGAGGAAGGGAAGAAAACAAAAGATAGAGAACATTATTATGAAATACAAAATGGACATTTTTGATTACATTAAATTGAAAATTTTTGCACAAAGTCAATGCATCCAAGATTAGGAGGGAAGCAGAAAACTGGGAAAGAATTTTTACAACTAGTGTTTCTGATAAAGGCCTCATTTCTAAAATATATAGAGAACTGAGTCAAATTTATAAGAATACAAGTCATTCCCCAATTGATAAATGGTCAAAGGATATAAACAGGCAGTTTTCAGAGAAAGAAACTAAAGCTATCTATAGTCATATGAAAAAATGTTCTAAATCACTATTGATTAGAGAAATGCAAATCAAAACAACTGCGAGGTAACATATCACACCTATCAGATTGGCTAACATGACAAAACAGGACAGTGATAAATGTTGGAGAAGATGTGGGAAAATTGGAACACTAATGCATTGTTGGTGTAGTTGTGAAATGATCCAACCATTTTTGAGAGCAATTTGGAACTATACCCAAAGGGCTATAAAACTGTGAATACCCTTTGACCCAGCAATACCACTTCTAGTCTGTATCCCTAAGAGATCATAAAAATGTGAAAAGGACCCACATGTACAAAAATATTTATAGTAGCTCTTTTTGTGGTGGCAAAGAATTAGAAATTCAGAGGATGCCCATCAATTGGTGAATGGCTGAACAAGTTGTGGTATATGAATGTAATGGAATACTATTGTGCTATAAGAAATGATGAGCAGGCAGACTTCAAAAAAAAAAAAGCAACTTGGAAAGACTTCCATGAACTGATGCAGAGTGAAATGTGCAGAACCAGGAGAACACAGTACACAGTGACAGCTACATTGTGTGATAACTGACTGATAGACTTAGCTCTTCTCAGCAACGCAAGGATCTAAGACAATTCCAAGACTCTAGATGGAACTTGCTATCCATATCCAGAGAAAGAACTGTGGAGTCTGAATGCAGCTGGAAGCATACTATTTGGTCTCTTTTACATTTGTTGTTTTATTGCTTCATTCTCGTGATTCCTCCCATCAGTTCTAATTCTTCTTTACCTCATGACTAATGGGAAAATCTGCTTAATATCAGATGGTACACTGTCTTGGTGGGGAGAAGAGGAGAGGAAAGGAGAGGGAGGGGTAGAAAATTTAAAACTCAAGACCTTATGGAAGTGAATGTTGAAAGCTAAAAATAAATAAAATAACTATCAAGAAAAAAAAGCAATTCTTTTGGGGGAACCTTGAGGGGAGCTAGTCGTCACCCTTTGGAGATCCAGCTCATCAGTTTGAATGGGGGAGTTGGTACAGTTGCCTCAGAGAACTATATATGTATGTGTGTATGTATATACATACACACATACATGCATATATACACACACATATATAAATAATATATAGATAATGCTCTAAGGCAACTGCACCTATACATAACACATATATGTACACATATGTGTATATGTATGTGAATATGTACACATGCATACATATAAATATATATATGCACACATATACATATAGTTTATATTTTTATGGATATGTTGTCCTTCCTCCTCCAAAAGAATGCAAGATCTTTGAGGGCACAAATAATTTCCTTTTATCCCCCCACCCCATCTTCAGTGCTTAGCATAGTTTTTATCCCTCTTTAAAAGCTGAATTTCATCAGTGTAGGGAACTCAGTGAGGAACTTTTTCCAAAGCAGATCCACACCTGTTTTGTAATTTATAGTCTCAGAGAAGTGTCTGGGGGCACTTAGAGGTTGAGAGGCTTTCCCAGGATCACTCATACCTTAGCCAAACTAGCAACCTGGTCTTTCTAAACTCTGAGGCCACTTCTCTTTTAAATGTTTTATTGATCAATTTTGTTTTAACAGTACACTTAAAGATCACCCTCATTCTGTGAGAGGTAGCTTGTGGCAAAGTAAAACAATTAATCAAAACTAAAAATATAACCTCATCTGAAAGTGCATGCAATATTCCATACCTGTAGCTGCCTCCACCATTCTATTTTTAAGTGTTTTCTTAATGAACAAGAATCTATTTTCTCTCCCTCCCTCCTCCCCAATCCACTAAAAAAAGAAAAGAAATTCCTTGTAACAAATATGCATAGTCAAGTCAAATAAATTCCCTCATTTGCTGAATATAAAAATATTTCTCTCATTCTGCACCCTAAATTCATTACGAATCTGTCAGGAGGTGGATAATATGTTTCATCATTGTTCCTCTGGCATCAGGGATGGTTATTTCATCGATTATAATTCTTATAGCTTTCAAAGTCTTTGCAGCATTGTAATTGTATAAAATTTTCTCCTAATTCTGCTGATTTCATTCTTTGTCAACTTATAAAAGTCTTCAAAATTATTCATTCTTATAATACTGATGTTATAACATAAATTGTTCTTCTGGTTCTACTTCACTTTGCATCAGTTCATACAAATCTTTCCATGTCTTTTTCCAAGTCATCTATTTCCTCATTTGTCATAGTAAAATCATATTCTACCACATTCATATATCACAGTTTATTCAACCGTTCCCCAGTCGATGGATGTCCCTTTAGTTTACAGGTGTTTTTTTTTTGTCACTACAAGAAGAGATGCTGTATTTTTGTACACATAGAACCTTTTGCTCTTTCTTTAATGTCTTTTGTGTGTAGGCCTAGCAATGGTGCCAAAGGGCACATACTGCTTAGTAACTTTTTTACTATAATTCTAAAATGCTTTCCAGAATGGTTGTGCCCATTCAACAGGTCCACCAACAGTGAATTTTGATGTATCTATTTTCCCATAGCCCCTCCAACATCTGTCATTTTCCTTCTTTGTCTTTTTCTTTTCTTTTTTTTTTGGCAATGGAGGTTAAGTAACTTGCCCAGGGTCACACAGCTAGTAAGTGTTATGTGTCTGCGGCTGGGTTTGAACTCAGGTCCTCCTGAATCCTGGGCTAGTGCTCTATCTCCTGCATCACCTAGCTGCCCCCATCATCTTTTCTAATCAGATAGATGAGGAACCTCAGAATTATTTTAATTTGCTTTTCTCTGATTAGTGGAACATTTTTTTATGTAACTCTAGATAGCCTTGATTTCTTCCTTTGAGAACTTGTCTATTCTTATCTTTAGGCCACTTATTAATTGGTGAATGACTCTATTATTATAAATTTGAAAAAATTCCTTATATCTCTTGGAAAGGAGACCTTTATCAGAGAAACTTGCTACAAAGAGGCCACCTACCTCTCTATCCACTAAACCAAACAGCCTCCAATGTGGTACGTAATAGTACCTTATTACATGCCTGTTGAATTGAATTGAATCCACAAATCTTGATTTACTTAATGGACACAAATTCTCATCACGGAGAGACAGTGTGGAGGTAGTCAAAAGAGCAGTAGACGAGGAGCCAGGAGTTCTAGTTTCTATTTTTCCCACTGAGTAGCTGTGTGATCTTGGGCAGATCACTTACTATCTCACCCTCAGTTTCCTTGACTGTAAAATAAAGCAGTTAGCTTAGATGATTTTTAAAGTCCCAGCTCTAGATTGTGATGATTTATGATAATTAAAGAAAGGGTTTGTCTAGAGTGAATGAGCCTCCCTACCTCTTTCAGAGACAGTCCTCAGCTCACTCATTGCTAATTCTAGTCCCCATTACCAGGTATAGAAATGTATATATGCATATATGTATGTATGTATGTATGTATGTATGTATGTATGTATGCACACACATATGTGTATACACACACATTTTAAAAGCCTTTGGGGTGCTAACCCTTAGGCTTACATTTAACCTTAGAGCTTGAGTTATTCTGACTATGAACACTTATTCTCAAAATTTTTGAGCCTTTGAAGAGGGAAAAATGAAAGCTCAAGTGAGGGTGGACTGCTTATATAAAGTCCTATTAAATGATGGTGCAAGAATTTAGGATTCTGTTTCTGATGCATCTGGGTGCTCTATTCTTCAAATGCATTTTTCTCTGACAAAAAGGTTTTTTTTTCCCCTTTGAGAAACTCGAACTCTACTTGCGTTAATCTATTAAATTTTCTGAGCATGTTTCTTCATCCACAAAACAGGAATTATAATAGTTTCTATAATACCTGCTTCCCAAGTTTGCCCTGAGCAAAATGTTTACAAATTTTCAAGTACTTTAAATGTGTTACTTTTTTTGTTGTTGTTAACAACAACAACAACAAACCACTATGTAAATCATTTGTCATTTCCTCATTTTGGGGAAACGCCTTCTATCTCTAAGATTTAGCACATCCTACCAAGTTGTCTGAAACATAAAGAAAGGTGTGAGCTGCGGAATTGAAACCTGTGTCTCCTGACTCCAAGCCCAGAAGGCTATCCGCAAGCCCTAGGCTGCCTCTTAATAGTAGTACTATGATATTATAGCACTACTATTATATTATTATAACTAATGCAGTGACAGTAAGACCATTGCTCACATAAGAAGTACTGCACCAATAAGGGAAAAGATTCTATAAGTTGACATTTATAAAGCACTTTGAAGTTTAACATTTTTGCAAACATCTCATTTTGCCAGGCGGGAACTGAGGGTCTCAGAGTTTAAATGTTTTGGAAATAAGATAGTCCTACCTCTCTAGGACTGGTCCTAGAGAGCAGGGACTATTTTTTGCTTTTCTTTGTATCCCTAGCTATTAATGCAGTGCCTGGTACATAATAGGGGCTTAATAAGTGCTAGTTAAAAATTGACACCTATACAAGTGCCAAAAGGCAGCGCCAAATCTTTTCTGCCGCCCATTCCAGCGCCGGTTCTGCTGCACTGCGCTGCCAATGAATTTGAAAAGCAAAGGTCCATTAATTACCCAGCAGAAAAGCTGTCCAGTTGAGGCCAGAGGGTTTGTCCTCTGCTATCTGACTTGAAATCTGGAATGCGCAAAATTTCTTTGCGAATGACCTCCGGTGACTTCTCCAAAGAGAAGGATGGAACATCATGGAACTGCAGATTTCCAAATAAAAACTACAAATTCCATGGAGCCTCGGTTTGGCTCCAGGAGATTTTTGTCTCCTGGACTCTCCTGAGTCAATTTGTTCTCTCGCGTCAATGAAAAAAGACCCAGGGCGACCCCCAGCTTCCAGGTTCCTCCCGAAACTGATTTAGCCCCTCCCACGAACCAAAGAGCTGATTATAAGAAGCTAAGTTTTCATGATCACCTCTCATTGAGGCTGAGCGCAGTCCTGCAGCAGCCGAAATCCAAGGAAAGAGGAAGACACGGCCCCTGGCAGCTCATGGAGGGTAAGAGAGAAATGGATCTGACCTGAATCTACCGACACTCGCCACAATCTGAGACCAGTCAGCCTCCCTCCTCTCCTTTCCTCTCTCTCCTCACCGCCCTAGAGGAACGTTCCCACCAGCTTTCCCTAGATGAGGAGGCCAGAGAGAACTTTGAGAAACTGCTGAGACAGAGACGGAGACACAAAGACAGAGAGACACACAGACGCAGAGACAGACAGAGACACAGAGAGAGACAGACAGGGAGATCGACGTGGGGGTAGGGTGGAGAGAGAGAGAGAGAGAGAGAGAGAGAGAGAGAGAGAGAGAGAGAGAGAGAGAGAGAGAGAGAGAGAGCGAGAGCGAGCGAGCGCGAGAGCTGTGTCGTTGTCCTTGCGGCTCTTTCTTCCTCTAGCTAGCGAAGGGCACAGCTATTTATCAGCAGTTGGGTTCAGATTGTTTTGGGGGAGAATGGAAGAAATCCGTCTATCTCCGAGAGTGCTTCTGGCTTCCTCTGCCTGGACCTCCTCCTCTGGGTTTTGTTGGAAGATGCTGGGCTACTTGTCCCGGGGCTTTGTTTGGTTCCATTATCTTCTGCTCCGGCATTCTTTCCTGTTGTGATGAAATGAGCACCAGCGCCTTCCTTGCAGGGAGTTTGTCTTGAGAACTGGTGGTGGCTAGCGGTTCTCACCACGGGACCTGGGGGTTGGGTGCCTTGAAGAGACTGAAAGGCTGGGGTTGGGGGGGGGAGGGACAAGAAGAGTCACTGCCTTGTAAAAAGCGGAAAAGGCATGTGGGACTTACTATCAAGAAAGTAGCATGACGTAAGGGCTAGTGAGTGACTTTTTTTGTAGCCACTGTTTTAAGTCATAGAGGGTTTCGATAGGCATTGGTGGAGGGAGTTCTCACACCTAAGAGTTCTCCTATAGTCTGAACAGTGGCCAGGGGTACCCTAGCTGCGTCTCTTTCTCTCTCTGTCTCTTTGTCTCTATCTCTGTCTCTCTCTGTCTCTGTCTCTCTGTTTCTATCTGTCTCTCAGTATCTCTCTCCTCCGCCTCCTTCTTCTCCTTCTCCTCCTTCTTCTCCTTCTTCTCCTCCTTCCTCCTCCTCCTCCTCCTCCTCCTCCTTCTTCTTCTTCTTCTCTTCTTCTTCTTCTTCTTCTCTTCTTCTTCTTCTTCTTCTTCTTCTCTTCTTCTTCTTCTTCTTCTCTTCTTCTTCTTCTTCTTCTTCTTCTTCTTCTTCTTCTCATTCTTCTCCTTCTTCTCCTTCTCTTCCTCCTCCTCCTGCCCTCAAGGAGCTTGTTTTAACTTCTTAAGTATCTCACACCTAACCTGAAGTTACATAATTTAAATCCTGTAAGGGGAGAAAAGGAAGGATGAAGGAATTTTGAAATAGAGCTTTACTTACTTCTGGCATGGTGGATGGAGTGTTGGACTTAGCCTCAGGAAGAGCTGGATTCAAATTCTCCACCTCAGACAAGTACTAGTTGTGTGACCCTGGCCAAGTCACCTAACTTCTGTGAACCTTAGTTTCCATATCAGTAAAACGGAGGTAAAGCATCAATCTCATATGATTTTTGTAAGGATTAAATGACTGCAAAGCACCTTGAAGTGCTATATAATTGTCAGCTGTTATTTACTTTAAGTCTCTTGTTATTTCTATATTCTAGAGGCTCTGGTCATTTTTATTATGCAGAAGAGGGAATGGTCAGGGAAAAAATCAATGGCAAATCCCAGAGGTTTTACAGCAGTCGATTTTGTCTGGGACATACATGAAGGAGTGGAGTGGAAAGAACACTGGTCTTGGATTTAGAAAACCTGAACTCGTATCCTAGCGGTAACCCTTGCCACCAGCTCACTTCACCACACTGGGCCTCAATTTCCTTGTCAGGAAGACTCAGGTTCCAATTCTGCAGCTCACACCTTTCTGTGTGTTTCAGACAACTTGCTAGGATATACTAAATCCTAGAGATAAAAGACGTTTTTCCAAACTGAGGAAAGGACAAATTATTTACATGTATCATTTACATGCATCATCATTTACATGTATCCACATATATTCCATGTACATGTGTGTATATATACATATATGTGTATATATGTATACACACATTTATGCACTAAATCTTTAATCCTAGAGTTGTGAGGGAAGCTGCATCTGAATGTGTTATTGTGTATGCAAAGTATTGGTGCTATTGGAGATATTCCAACCCTTAACACTTTCCAAGTACTTTTATACTGTGTCTTTTGAGGTTCTTAAAATGATTCTGGAATTTAAGTAGGCAGATATTATTCCCATCTGACAGAATAAGGAAACAGGATAATAGAGTTTAAGTAGCTTACTTAAGGTCACATAACTAAAGGGCAGCAAAACTATAGCCATAAACAAGGAATAATAGTGGGATAGAGCTGAGGGTGGGGAAAGTTCTCCTTATTCCTGTCTTAACACTTTTTCCTCCATCCTACAAAGATGAAAGTTTCCTTGACTGACCTTTACGTGGAAGCCCTGCCATTACAGCTTACAAAGACAATATTTACTTAGGAGATAGGGGAAGGCCGTCCTAGATGAAAATTCTGAGTCATAGAACTGAAAGAGATCTTAGAAATTATCTCATCCCAGACCCCTTATTTTACAGACAAGGAAACTGAGCTCCAGTTAGATTAAATTACTTGCCCAAGGTCACACAGCCAGTTGGTACCAGAGCTGGGTCTAGAACTCATTTCACAGAATCATAGATTTAGTGCTGGAAAGGATCTCAGTGGGTATCTGGCCCAATCCTTCAATTTCTAGACTCAGATGTAAAAAGAGTCAGTCACCCGACTAGCATTTCTGAAGCTCTGACTATGTGCCAGGCACTGTTCTAAGCACTGGAGATAAAGCAACTTGCCAAAGTTAAGACAGCTGATCATTGGCAAAGACAAGATTTTAACTCAGAATTTTTTTTTACTTTAAACCAGAATGGTTACCTCCGAATTATATAGTTATCCCTTCCACATTGCAGGGGTTAGGGGCATGGTGCTCCCCAAGATCTGGAAAATCCACATAAAATTTTTTGGCTCTGCCTTCAGTATCAGAGAAGAACTTTGAATTTTTTCTTTTTCTTCTGTAGGCTGTTTACAGTACCTTACTGTAAAATTTGGATTAAGTGTTTGACTGTAGGCTCTGTGTCATCTGCTAGCCTTCTAATGTCTGTGGCTTCTGCAAAACTCCCCCAAACTCCCATTTAATTTCTTACCCCAACCTCAATGGGGAAAGTCTTGATGTGGAAACTGACCTCTGACTTCTAGGTCAATCCTCTGTATACCATCTGGTCCTTTCATGGAGCTGTCTGAATGGGAAAACTTTAGTACTAGGCAATTCAACGTCCCATTCATATTTGTCTAGCTTGCCATGCTCAATGTCTTGTGCTAGGTGTGTGGGGGTGGGGATGCAATGATGAAGAAATGATTGGGAGAGTGAAGGTGGTGTGGACATGAGATATGATAATAAAAGCTAACCTTTGTATAGCACTTTAAGGCTGGAGTGCCATGGCTTCAAATGCAAATATTTGGAAGGAATATCAAGTGAAAGACATTTGGTATAAAATATAATTAACCAACCAATAAGTGTAAAATTCAAAATGTGCCTATTAAGTGTCTGCTGTGTGCACCAAAGATGTCCCTGCTCTCCTGTCAGGTAAGGAGAGGGACTGCAAAATACTAAGTAATTTCTGGACATGGAATAGAGTGGTAGCTGTTAGGGGGATCAGAACAGATTTTTTGTAGGAGTTAGTACTTGAAATGGATTTTAAAGGAAGATAGTCATTCTGTGAGTAGGCCAGCTAGGTGGCTCAGTGGATAGAGTGCCAGGCTGGAGTCAGGAAGGCCTGAGTTCAAATCTGGCTTCAGATGCTTACTAGGTGTGTGACCCTGGGCAAGTCATTTAACTCTGATTGCCTCAGTTTCCTCATCTGTAAAATGAACTAGGGAGGGAAATGGAGAACCACTTCAGCATCTCTGCCAAGAAAACCCCAAATGGGGTCACGAGGAGTTGGACATGACTGAACAACAACAACAAAATCATTCTGTGAATCAGAGGTGATAGCTTGTAACCTGGGCATGGGAGACAGGTTGTGCAAAGGAGGAAGAACCACAAAACAGCAAGCTGACCAGTTTGGCTGGAAATAGAGTATGTGAAAGACAGTAACACATAACAGGCCTGGAAAGGTAGTTGGGATCGGACTGTCAAGAGCTTTAAAAAGAAACAGTAGACTCTGTATTATATCCTGGAGGCAAATGAAGCCGTGAAAGCCCCTTGAGCAGGGGAGTGACATGGTCAGACTTGTGCTTTAGGAATAGGAATTTGGCAGCTGTGTGGAGGATGGAAACGTGAATAATTTGAAAGATAAAGGATGATGGTGTTTTCTTCAGAAACGAGGAAAGAAATTTACAGGGGGAAAGATTTTTGCTTTGCACCTGTTGAATTTGAGGTGTCTATAGGACATCTATGGCAGGCAGGTGGTTCAGTGGATAGAGTATGGGGCCTGGAGTCAGGAAAACTCATCTTTCTGACTTCAAATCCAGCCACAGATACTTACTAGCTGCGTGACCCTGGGCAAGTCACTTAACCCTGTTTGTCTCAGTTCCTCATCTGGAAAATGAGCTGGAGAAGGAAATGGCAAACCACTCCAGTGTCTTTGCCAAGAAAAACCCAAATGAGGTCACGGAGGTCACTGGACTGAACATAAACAATGGGATAGCCAGGTGGAGCTGTCCAGTATTGCTGTTGGTGATGTGGGAACGGAAATCAAGGGAGTGAGGTAATAGTTGAACCCAGTAGAGCTTAGGAGATCACCAAGAAATTACAGGAGAATAGAAGAGGATCTGAGACAAAAGCCTGGATGCATGTAGGGGGTGCAGAGTGGAAAAAGAATGATGATGTTACAAAGGGGACATAGAAGAGGTGGCCAGACAGGTAGGAAGAAAACTGTGGGGGAAAGCAGGGTTGTGAAAACCCAGGGAAGAGGGATTCAGGGAAAAAAGCCT